TTGCTGCTGATACAACCAAATTTCCCCTTGTGGAACAATTAAAGGATTATTCTATTCTTTATTTGGTTTAGATTTACATTTTACAGTGTCGCAACACGAGCTTTGTATTTATTTTAATCTAATCTGACACTCTGTCTGGTTCCAATTAGCTTTTAAGCATTGTCTACAAATTTTCACTAGTGTTAAAGTCACAGCTATGGAAGGATTTCCAAAAGCTTAACATTCGTCTGCCAGTCAGCAATTGCCAGCCGCCTCCCTCCTTAGGGACTCCATCTGTATGGCCTCCTGAAGACCTCTGTCTTCTCAGTCACCACCAGCCTGTTAGCCAGAGGGTTTGTCTTTTATTCTGTCATCACCAGCCCGGGCACCTAAGGAGTCCTGTCACTTCCACAAAAGTAGCCCTCCTTGGCCTTTCTTCCATTTATGGTTTTCTAAGGGGTCCTATCCCCTTTGCCGATGCCAGCCTCCAACCAAACCACTGGAGGTTTTTTTCATCTACACCAGTTGGCCACCTGTGCGGCTCCCAGAACACCTCCTCCGTTGGGCTCCTGGCCGGCCCGTCGAGCTGCTCAACTCTTGTCATGGATTATCTAGCCATCACCTGAACTCTTTTTCCGCCTTTGTGTTTTGGTTTCAGTTTTGGTCATTTGACTTTCTCCATTAGTTTCAGCAGTGCTGCCAGGTTTCCCCTCCCCCCCGTGTTGTCTCCTCTTCTTTGTGATGTCCGTCCTCGAGGTTGTTTGTTTTCCCACCCTGCGGTTCCCTGGTGTTGACCTGCATTTGTCTTGGACTTTTTGTAACTTTATGAATAATCAGCATTAAAACTACATTTCTATCATTTACACCTGGTTTCCTGAGTTCTGCATTTATGCTCACCACACAGCCATTTCCTGACAGCGTCCTCCTTAGAGGGAGTGGATTTGTTGAAAATAGGTCAACCTTGTTTTATGATGATTCATGAAACAAGACCTTTCACATTGTTTTCACTTCTTTTTAAAAATGACTTTCATTTTCATTCTGTATCCGAAAGCTTTTTCTTAGATTCAAACCACCAGTATTTGTGTTATTTGTCTAACCGTGTCTGAACACATCTGGAGAGAAATGCTGACAACACAGCTGCAGTACTTTTGAGGATTGTCTTTATCCACAAGAATTACAACTAAAAGTAACAAGCAAGGCCATTTTTATATACTTTATATAGTCCAGGCTGTTTAAAGACAGTGTTTGAGTGCCATGAGTTTACATTACTGACTCTGCATATTAATGGGGAACCTCTTAGATCAAAATTCCCAAATAAATTGGCTATTTAGGAATACTGCTCACCTTTGTCGGTGAGCAGTATGTTTGAGCTCAGTCATACCTAGCTAAATTTCATCAACAAGAATGACGAGTACCAGAAGCAGTCATGCATGCTCAGTCAACTAAGCATGGGGGAATCATGTGACTACATGATCTCATCTAGTCACATGACTACATGACTCCTCCATATTTCACACATGAACTGGAAGTATTTGGGTTGTTGCTATGTCCCTTCTTTCCCCACCTTTGGCTTTCTTGGTAAAGATTTTGGTGTTTCTTCACACCTGCATGTTTACCTTGCTTCAGTGTGAGCAATGACATTTCATCTAAAATTCCCTATTTACTGTGTGTGAATAAAATTTTGTATTGTAGAAGTAGTTTAAAGTGTAAATAAAAAAAAAATTGTCACACACTGCATCTGCAGACGACTATTTAAGTCAGCTGGTAGTAAGCAGTGTTGATCAAGTTACTTGAAAAAAGTAATCATTAACTAATTACTGATTACTTCCTCAAAAACGTAATCCCGTTACTTTACTGATTACTTATTTTCAAAAGTAATTAATTACTTAGTTACTTAGTTAGTTTTTAAAAACACGATTTACAACCTGAAGAGGTGATAAAGTGATAGATCTTTCAGCCCAATTCTACTTTTTCTACATAATCCATCATACAAAATGTAATCAAATGGAAAAGTCTCTCTTTTTTAAAACTTGGTTTATTAGTTTTAATCTTTTAACTTTATGCATCAAGCAAAAATTTAATTATATGCAACATTCTCTGACTGGAAGAAATTTGTTTAACATTTAAACCTATTTTCTGCACATTCCAGCACATAAAACATATCTTTTTTTGTGTGTTTACACTCACTCTTTCAAATAGATGCAAGTAAAACACAACAGAAAATAAATAAAGTCAAAGACTCAGCGGTCCTTTTGCTCTATTTTCACCTGTAAAGCAGGAGTAGGGTAGGCGGAGGTTTACCCTGGTGCAGGTGTGCCACAGCGGTCAGTGGAAGAATCCGTGAGTTTCTCTGTGAATTTCCCATTACGTCGTTGCGCACTCGGTGCTTGCTTGGAAGTTTAGGGGTTTTTTTCGCTGTAAAAAGAAGTTTTCTTCCCACGCACAACGGACACTAATGTTTTTGTCACTTTTTATGGAATCAAACTTAAAATAAGGTCAGTACTTCCACGCTTTAAATGCTGCACGCTCATACTCTCTCCCGCACTCAATATATGATCCATTGTTGATCTGCACACAGCTGTTGTCACTAACGGCGTACTCGCTTACGTCACTGTCATGAGACATTCTCGCAAAAAAATCACGATTTTAGTAACACAGTAACGCAGCGTTCCTACGGGAAAGTAACGGTAATCTAATTACCATTTTGCAATAGTAGTCCCTTACTTTACTCGTTACTTGAAAAAGTAATCGGATTACAGTAACCCATCTCTGGTAGTAAGTGAAGGAGGTTATTGTGGAGTGTGATAAACCGCTGATGGCGATTAGCCAGTTCTGGGCACATGAAGATGCACAGGCTCTTCCTGTGCATGTGCTGAAATATCCATGGGAACAATACTGAACACAGAGCTGCCCCAGTGAGTCCATCACAGTGTGAACATTAGCTAGAACTTGTAGTAGAAGGAGCTTTGCATGTTTGAGTAGAAAGGTGTTATATTAGTACCAGTCCACATTAGCATTCATGTTAAACACATACCTGTCTTCATCATGTGTTTCTCACCACCTGAGAGCTGTGAGTCCCCATCGTCATCTGGAACAGATTCTGGGATTGGAAATGAGTTCGGAGATTATTATTTATTACAAAACATAAAATCAATCAGTCAACCCTGACTCAGTTTCATTCTTTACAATGTAATGTCTTGGCACTATCCTATGGACGCTGCAGTTTGATTTGGACTTGGTTTCTCGTCTCGGGCTGACTGTTTTTTCTTTT